ACCGTTCACTCTGTCATACCACCGTTCACTCTGTCATACCACCATTCACTCTGCCATACCACCATTCACTCTGTCATACCACCATTCACTCTGTCATACCACCGTTCACTCTGTCATACCACCGTTCACTCTGCCATACCACCATTCACTCTGTCATACCACCATTCACTCTGTCATACCACCATTCACTGTCATACCACCATTCACTCTGCCATACCACCGTTCACTCTGTCATACCACCATTCACTCTGTCATACCACCGTTCACTCTGCCATACCACCATTCACTCTGTCATACCACCATTCACTCTGTCATACCACCATTCACCCTGTCATACCACCATTCACTGTCATACCACCATTCACTCTGCCATACCACCATTCACTCCGCCATACCACCATTCACTCCGCCATACCACCATTCACTCTGTCATACCACCATTCACTCTGCCATACCACCATTCACTCCGCCATACACCATTCACTCCGCCATACCACCATTCACTCTGTCATACCACCATTCACTCTGTCATACCACCATTCACTGTCATACCACCATTCACTCTGCCATACCACCATTAACTCTGCCATACCACCATTCACTCCGCCATACCACCATTCACTCTGTCATACTACCATTCACTCTGTCATACCACCATTGACTCTGTCATACCACAATTCACTCCTTAACACACACCCCTTCACGATGACACCACTCGATATAGAACCTAAAGGTAATGAAAAGTACATTTCTATTTTAAACACGCGTCAACTAGCCAGTGTTCCTTCACGCGTTTCCTGGCCGCGCCTTGTATCATGACATCGACGTCTCTATTTGAAATGTACTTGACACGTGACCCCAGGCCCTCGGTTAAAATAACGGGTACTGCGAAGATTGACTGATATGGACAAGCTCCCATTGACGGAACCCGTAAAACCAATGACAGGGGTCATGAAATAGATTACCATTGTCTCAATCTGTGAGGCGATCTGGATATATGTACAAGAAATATATTCCACCCTTTGAACTCCGGCTTATGTTTCTTCAAACGAAACAAATAATGTGAAATGTTTTGTGCTGGAAGAATGCGTCCATTATGTTGTCGAGTTCGTGTTGACGCGGTGTCGTGTTTGAGAGAAAGGGTTTATGTTGCAGGTAGCTTGACAAGGGTCATAGTTGCGTGGAGGCTTGTCTTATCTGACGATTGGGACAGTCCTGAAGTGGTGCGGTGGAGGTGTTATGTCTGTTATCAGTGACGAATATAGGGGTCGGGTGCGGGGTGTGACATTTATCTGATATCGACTGTATGGTGGTGTTGGTATTCTAAATGGTTATATAGGCATGTTCTGTTTTATGATCTGTGTAACTGAATGGGGTGAGATGTATAAGTGGGACAGTGTGTAGGTGTTTCAGTGTAAGTTAACACTTCGAGTTAGTTAGGGTAACATTGCACAACAACCAGATACCAACTGACGTCTTATGTTTGTTTGTTTATTTGTTTGTTTGTTGTTTAACGCCGCACACGGCAATATTCCAGCTATATAAAAGGCGGTCTGTAAATAATCAAGTCTGGGCCAGACAATCCACTGATTGACATCATGAGCATAGATCCACGCAATTGGGATACGATGACATGCATCAACCAAGTCAGCGAGCCTGACCACCCGATCCAGTTAGTCAACTCTTACGACAAGCATAGTCGCCTCTCACGGCAAGCATGGGTTGCTGAAGACCTATTCTACCCCGGATCTCAACGGGTGGGATGTTGGTGTGTGACTGTGGATGTTGGTTTGAGAGGATTGTTGTTGATATCAGAGAGAGTTAGTGTTGGCAACAGAGAGACTGGATGGTGGTACAAGAGAGAGTAAGTGTTGGTATGAGAGACAGAAAATGGCTGTATCAACATCAAGGAAGCGTTAATAAAAAATAAACCAACACTCGACAGGAGTAGGACGTAAACAACAGGAAACTAGACCCCTGCTGATTAAATGTCTCACTACTTCGCCGCAGTCGGCAATACTCCACCTACATGACTGAGGCGAGAGAACAGAGTCTGAGCCAGATGTATCAGTGGTTGACATAGCCTTGCTCCAAGGCTGTACTGAAAGGCAAGTCCATGGATGTGTAGTAATTCTATCCCCCCCAGGCAAGTCTAGATATGTGGACAGTACAATTGGGGTAACTTGTTCTTATTTTTTACATAATATAGAAATTATGATTTAAATTAATACTTATTGCCTGAGAGACATGTGCAAGTCTATGGTTGACAGTGCGACCAACGATCGATGGCGTCGGGTCACGATGACACACAACCAGCAAGGTCACAATCTTTTAACCCCCCCCCCCCCCCCCCCCCCCCCCCCCCCCCCCCGACCTCATTGTTAAGCTCTAATGACATGCACGGGCTGTAGGTCTAAAATGCCCCGGAATCCCCACCCATGTATTTTGTTGAGGGGGGTGCTGGGTGACACAAGATTCAATATAAGAAATCTTTAACTCGTAGTGCTATCAGGGACCCAACCACAAGACGAATATAAGCCCTACGTTCCCAATATTGAAGTGGGTGAGTTGGTTTAGCGACGCTGTTAACAGTATTCCAGTTATATCACAGCGTGTCAGCTTAATATGGGAGGAAACCCGAAGTGATGCAGGTCTCAGACGTTTACCACTTCGGTGAAACCCACGAGCACGGGTATGGTGCTGACAAACCTAGAAACATAATCGGGGCGAACCGGGATTCGAACCCATGGCTGCTTAACATGGATGTGTGCCCACAAGTATGGTGTGTGTGCGTGCGTGCGTGCGTGCGCGCGCGCGTATGCGTGTGTGCTTGTTGCAGAAAGCCACACACAGCAATACTCAAGCTATACGACGGCCTGTATAAAAATCGAGTCAGGACCAAACAATCCAGTGATTGGTATCGTTAGCAACGACCCACGCCACGGGTACGATGACACCATCAACCAAGCCGCCGAGCCTGACCACCCGATCCATTAAGTCGCTTCTTACGACCAACCTGGTTGTTAGGGACCAATTCGAACCCGAAATTCCCATTTGGTGCCGGCATCAAGGCTAACCATCTCGCCCATCTTACCGTGTGTCACCTAGTCCGGCGTTGGTCCATACCCAGACTGGTCCAGACTCGCCTGACAACCCACGTGACTTATTTGTAATCTTACTGACACCGTGTCATTGTGTACCTAACGTCCACATCCATACCCTAGCGTGTAGACCCATAAGAGCGTTCCGCCTCTAAGAAGGAAAATGAGAGTAAAAGCATAACTTGGTTGTTATCAATCACAGAGCAGATGGTAAGAGCCCCGCTGATGATGGGCACACGGGATGAACATCTGTCTATATCATATCAACATCCCCCCCCCCCCCCCCCCCCCCCCCATGCAGCATCACATTGTTATCCTGTGTGTATACGCTAACAAACTAAGCAGAACATGGCGAGGAAGTCGTAGCCGGTGCCGCAGTTGGAATGCGGATCCGCCTGGGAACATGTAACTAGAGATATTAGTAGACAGGAACCAGTCTATGGGAATTCCTTACCCATGGGCTGTAACGTGACCCCCTCGTTCCGAGAAGACGATTTTTTTTGTGTTCTTCAACCTACACAGTGGCGTTTCAAGATATGGCTTATAATCAGCGAAAATCTGCTGAACTTGCAATTTTACTAGAGGTTTATGTTTTGGGAAGATCGTCTTAAATATATTTATTTAGATTATGTAGTTTCATTTTGTTTGTGTTGGTCTGCTGTATGTTTGTTTAAGATGTTATTTTACGGGACGGGAAAGAAAAGAAGAGAGTTTGTTTCAACCTCCCATAAAATGATGAAAGACAGCAGTGTTAGATTTTATGGAATTGAAACGATTAAAGGCCTGTTTGTCGGTATGCCATTAAACAAGCTTCAGTCACACACCAAGCACTAACATGGAGGCATTAAGAGTAAATCCCTTTTGTGTGAAATCGTGCTTATACGAAATGAATAGGGATTAAGCGGCCTTGAACGATAAAAAAATATAGAACGTTCACTAGCGAAGTAAATCTTATAGAGGTTCTTTCACTTGTCACAGAACCACGTTCTACCCATTTTCCTTGGTTTTCACTCCCCAAACACCCATCCCCCATCTGCATCATTTTGAGGACGGTGTTAGATGACAGGCAGGCAATCCCGCCGCTATCTATTATTACCCGCATACAGGGCCTCTCATCACGATGAACATATCTCGGGGGGGTTCAGAAATATTTCCTGTCTCGTAACACTAAAACTATCACCGTGACGGTGACCTACATTCGACAAAGCCGTAAATAACACGCACAATCGATATATGTCATTTCAACCCTGAATAATACCAGCTTGCTTAACGCGACAGTCTCGACTTGACATGTTGGATATTCAGTTTATATTTGTGGATTAGTCTATCGCGATAAGAATACGTCCCCACAAGACGTGTTCAATGAAACGTGACCGTCTATATCGCCTGGTTGGTGGGTACAGATGGCATGTATAATAAACTTGGTTCAGTCTTAGCGGTATAGTGCAAAGTAATCAATCAAGCCATTGTAGTTGTAGTTTCAGTCACAGCTAGAAAACTGGTTCAAATTAACCTTTATCCTTCATATACTTACATCACTGCCTGTTAAGTGTGCTCAAATGACATTAGTGTTTACTTTTAACAAACGTGTGATGGGGAGACTGCACTGTAACATGACGTCTCCCTCATCAGTGGAAAAAGGTCAAAGCTGTACAGCGATGCAGTTTAACCGTGTGAAGACTGTCATCCCTTTTATTCAGTTTCAAAACGTTAAAACAAATTTGAGACCTATTAGTCATATATGCCACAGGAAAGGTTTAGGTTACTTGTACACAAGAAAGGTATAGGTTACTTGTAAACTAATAATTATGACAGATACTTCAAAGAACCCGTGCTTGCATGCTAGGACACATCACAGATACTATCGATTCGTATAGCATGTACACGCAAACTACATACCTGATGTAGCTATACGCCGAGTAGAGGGTTCGCTCATTCCCAGCTTCAGATTATTTGTATCCTGAGCGTCAGGGTGCGTGAGGCTTCTGTTATGCCTCTCCAACGGCTTGTAAATGACTCAGGAGCACTCTGTGCAACAACTTCAGTCGGAAGGAAAGTACGACTGTAGGCGTCGCCCAACCGCGCTCTCAGCTCCTGGCAGCGTTACACAGTGTGCTGAGTAAGGTCCGTTCAATCAGAGCGGAATATCGATCCAGTCACCTGTGATGAAAATATGTTGTATTTTCGGGACAACTTGTTTGTTATTCATTGATTAAATGTAGGTTTATTAATAGTTTCAAATGAATATGTCTTTGTGTTAACGTAACTGATTTTTGTCGGATTAATTTTGGTTCGGTTAGGTATTTTTCATATATAATATCGATTTTCACATATGTTATCGATAAATATATTTGAAATTAAATTTGAAAGAAGCATATGATTTGGAAGTTAATAATTCGCACGAATAACAAACTTGGCAACCATAAAATAAATCACACGTAATGTAAACAATGTGACAGGTATCCTCCCAAAACGTAGACCTGCCAAAACGCAGACCCGTAAAAAACAACACTCGTTATGGCTGGTTGCATCAGTAAAAAGTACCCTGTACCCTTGATTAAGTAAAATGGTATCACCCATGTAACAAGAAAGAAAGCTGGGTAGATTTCACAATTTTTCTGGGACAAGACATACTCAACTTTTGTAAGTCCGGCCACAGCTTAGTTGGACGAGGTTGAAGCTCATGTTCAAATATATTTATATGTTATACCATACACAAGAGAAGGATGATGACAAATACACTTATTATAACTCAATTAACAATTACATCATTGATGTATTCAGAACACGAATGTAACACAAACTGCAACTTGGGTTATCAACCGACACAAGGAAATTGCCAAATAATTGACACGGACTTCCGTACGATGTAATGATATCTGTTTTCATTATCACAAAATATCACAAACATTAACACGTACATTCCGGGAGCAACAAAGACACTGTGTAACAAATGATATATTTGACACTTTCTGATCACGTACTTTGTGTACCCCTCTGACACACATGTGTTCATAGTTGTCGGCCATGGTGAGGTGAGGTGAGGTGAGGTGAGGTGAAATTGGGTTTAACGTCGCGTCCAAGATTATTGCACTTATATAGCGACGTGCATGCATGTGTGTGTGTGTGTGTGTGTGTGTGGCTGCTTGTACTAGTCCGGACTGATGCTGATTTATAGTGCTAGCCCACTGAGATACAATGCCGCAGTTTAGCATGAATACCCCACTCAGACACAGTATACTGACTCCGAGCCGACCAGTCCTTGTTTTAGCCCCTTAATGCCGAGCGCCAGACAGGGTAACAACAAGTACCATCTTTTAACGTCTTTTGGTATGACGCGGCCGGGGATCGAACCCCGGACCTTCCGCTCTCCGGGCGGACGCTCTACCACTAGACCACGGAGGCGGTATTCGGCCATGGTAGCCGTGCAAATTTAAACACGTCAGAGGGGTACACAAAGTACGTGATCTAGACTACCAGCTGTCGGAATTTCATTTTGTGGAAGCCTCGGTGGCTAAGTGGGCTAGATCGCTGACTTTGTGTGCTGGCGATTTGGTGCCTCACTCTGGCAGTGTGGGTTCGAATCCAGGACGCGACTCAACCCCAAAAAGTACAAGAATCTGTACTTTACTCAGAAAGTGTCATCCCAAATATAACATATGTTACATTTGACCACTTTCTAAACGGCACTGTGTGTTCAAAGAGACCGTGGACTGTAATCTGGAAATGTGACATTGAATCAAAGCTCTTCGGTAAACACTCGTTTCACCTGCCCTCCCATATAAAGCTGACACGCCGTGATAAGACATGGATATTGTTCAGATGTCGGGTACGGTGGTACATTTGTTGCCATACGATCCCCATGTGGGCAGTTTGTATCATAAACAGTGTGTTTGGGTGGTACAGATGAACGTGACCCGTGAAGATCTGGGGTAGAATAGGTCTTCAGCAATCAATTCTTGCTGTAAAAGTCCACTATGCTTGTCGTAAGAGGCGACTAACTGGATCGGGTGGTCAGGCTCGCTGACTTGATTGATGCATGTCATCGATCCCAATTGCGTGGATCGATGTTCATGATGTCAATCACTGGATTGTCTGGTCCAGACTCGATTATTTACAGACCGCCGTCTTATAGCTGGAATAATGCTGAGTGCGGCGTAAAACAACAAACCAAACCAAAACAGATGAACGTGGTGTACCCTGTCTGAATGCTAGGATCCTGATCCAAGTCATCGTCTTACCCGTCCAACCGCCGAACACCACCGTTTACTTTCACTCACTATACACAAACCCGCTGCTCCCTTTACCTGGCTAAAGTATAGGTATACTGACTCACTCCCCGTTTCCTACTTCTGTGTGTGGCGCCTTCCCAACCTGCCGACGAAAACACGCATTACTTTGATCTGACTGCCTAATAAATCTGTATCTCTGTACACTCTACCCGGCCGTAGAATCACGTTCCTGTACATGCCTGCGTAATGTAACCAACACACCCATATCCGCCCCCCTCCACCCTAATGTAACCAACACACCCATTCCGCCCCCCTCCACCCTAATGTAACCAACACACCCATTCCGCCCCTCTCCACCCTAATGTAACCAACACATCCATTCCGCCCCTCTCCACCCTAATGTAACCAACACATCCATTCCGCCCCTCTCTACCCTAATGTAACCAACACACCCATTCCGCCCCTCTCTACCCTAATGTAACCAACACATCCATTCCGCCACCCCCCACCCCCTCCACCCGAATGTAACCAACACACCCATTCCGCCCCCCCCCCCCCCCCCCCACCCTTATGTAACCAACACACCCATTCCGCCCCTCCACCCTAATGTAACCAACACACCCATTCCGCCCCTCTCAACCCTAATGCAACCAACATACCCATTCCGCCCCTCTCTACCCTAATGCAACCAACACACCCATTCCGCCCCTCTCCACCCTAATGCAAGCAACACACCAATTCAGCCCCTCTCTACCCTAATGCAACCAACACACCCATTCCGCCCCTCTCTACCCTAATGCAACCAACACACCCATTCCGCCCCTCTCTACCCTAATGCAACCAACACACCAATTCCGCCCCTCTCCACCCTAATGCAAGCAACACACCAATTCAGCCCCTCTCTACCCTAATGCAACCAACACACCCATTCCGCCCCTCTCTACCCTAATGTAACCAACACACCCATTCCGCCCCTCTCTACCCTAATGTAACAAACACACCCATTCCGCCCCTCTCTACCCTAATGTAACCAACACACCCATTCCGCCACCCTTATGTAACCAACACACCCATTCCGCCCCCCTCCACCCTAATGTAACCAACACACCCATTCCGCCCCTCTCCACCCTAATGCAACCAACACACCCACTCCGCCCCTCTCTACCCTAATGCAGCCAACACACCCTCAACAGGTCATCGAGCCTGACCACCTGGTCCTCAACAGGTCACCAAGACTGACCACCTGGTCATCAATAGGTTACCGATTCTGAACATTCGATCCTCAATAGGTCAATGAGCCCGACCATTCGATCTTTAGTAGGTCAATGCGCTTGACCATTCGATCCTCAATAGGTCACCGAGCCTGACCATCCGATCCCCAATAGGTCACGTTGTCTGACCACCCGATCCTCAACAGTTAGTCTCCATGTATGACAAGCACGGGAGACTGAGAAGCAATTCCACGGGGTTCATTCAGCCACACATTACAGGGCGCCAGTGCCCTTCATCATGTATCTCTCCATACACCACCCATGTCTATTGAATCAAAACCCGGTACCTGCCTAAGTGAATAGCCCACACCCACCACTCATCTATCGCATCTCACCCTTAGCATCTGACAACAATGGACAAGTGGCTGGGCAGTGCTAAGTCGAATGTCAAAGGACAGAGAAAGCCGCGGATAATAGACACCAGCGTTCGCCAGTGTTACGGCCCCGAGAGAGGGACGTGGGTGTTGGGTAAACAGACACAGGTAACAACATTCAATGCTGGGATTGAAGGAGTAGCCGTGTGTCAACATAGACCACGTGTTGCTTCTCGGCACACATGTACAGGTCTATTTGTAGGGTATAGAGATGTCGAGGGGGATAGATCGGATTCTATGGCTGAATCATCGAATTAACGCTCATCACTGAACGAGACTGGACAAACAATCGACCCAGGAATTGGTTTAAGCTTATATACCTGGTGGAACTTTATCCATGAAGAGGCCCAGGAAAATGGTTTAAATTTGGATACTTGGTTGAACTTTAACCACGAAAACTCGATCCAGTGTATTTTGTCTCCAATTTAACATGATAAATGTTATACAATTTAGATATAATTCATTGGGTAAGCGAGGATGATTTAGATGAAGCTGTAAGCAGTATCCCAGCTATATGAAGGGTCATCTCAAAGCTGTGTTAAATTTCACTCACTCACTCACTCACTCACTCACTCACTCACTCACCCTCCACTCACTCACGTACGCACACACTCACTCTCCACTCACTCACTCACGTACTCACTAACTCACGCACGCACTCACTCACTCACTCACTCACGGACGCACGCACGCACGCACGCACGCACGTATGCTATCTTGGTCCAGGTATACAACAAAGCCCCCGTCATAGCGTGTCTGTCATTACACAAAACACAAAGTGAACATTTGTTTGATTGGCTTTTCTAAAACCACGAGAAAGACATCATGATAAAACCTGATCTGTTTTGCCAGTAAAAAACCTTCCTGGTCAACACCTTCCTCGGCTGTTAGTCAGGTGGTTTTATACAGATTTATCCTGTTATTCTGTCACGCCACGGCGACAGCTGTCAGAGGAAATCGGAAGATGTCGTTGCAGAGTGGCAGTAAACGCTGTTAGTCAACTTCAATTGCCGTAATTATGGCAACAAATCAATCTCGAATCCATTTGTTGACGAACCTCATATTAACAACCATGATCAAATTTCAGCGCAGGAAAATACGATTTGTATACGATCTTATTTCTTCCATAAATGTTTCAAACAATACACCACAGGCGGTTAAAATTAGTTTTCAAACCACATCTCTGATGACGATAACATCAAGCCTACGACAGATGTATGCACGACGCAAGCCTTGAGAGCAGGGGCTGAGAAGTCAAGCCAGGCTATTGCATGCAAAATGAG